CGGGGCCATATTTGCATTCACTGCGACACACTGATGCAGACGACCTGGTTTCTGAGTTTAAATCAGCCTCACTGATATCCAGAATGTTTTCCCCAATGAAGATCTGATGGCCAGCTTCTTCAGGCTGAGGAGCTCAGTCATCCGGGGAGGACTCAGAGTAGAGCCGCTGCTCCTCCACATCGAGAGGAGCCAGTTGAGATGGCTTGGGCATCTGATCCTGGACGTCTCCCTGGTGAGGTGTTTCAGGCACATCCCACCGGGAGGAGGTCCAGGGGGAGACCCAGGACACGCTTTAGGGACTATGTTTCTCGGCTGGCCTGGGAGCGCCTCGGGATTCCCCCGGAGGAGCTGGCCCAAGTGGCTGGGGAGATGGACATCTGGGCCTCCCTACTGAAGCTGCTACCCCCGCGACCCGACCCCGGATAAGTGGAAGAAGATGGATGGATGGAAGATCTGATGGGCTTTTAAAGTTTGTTTTTGGTAACAAAGAGAGAATATAAGAGATCCTGAGGTGTGAGAGTTTACTGTAATGACTGTAATGAAATATCAGGAGCCATAAAGATTTAAAAAGGTTAAGGCCGCAGTTCGATGATCGACTATGTCATTGTTTCATCGGACATGCGGCCATATGTCTCGGACACTCGGGTGAAGAGAGGTGCGGAGCTTTCCACTGACCACTACCAAGTGAAGAGTTGGCTCTGGTGGTGGGGGAGGATGCCGGTCGGACCTGGCAGGCCCAAACATGTTGTGAGGGTCTGCTGGGAATGTCTGGCGGAGTCCCCTGTTAGGCGGGGCTTTAACTCCCATCTCCGGCAGAACTTCGAACACATTCTGGGGGAGGTGGGGGACATTGAGTCCGAGTGGACCATGTTCCGTTCCTCCATTGTCGAGGCGGCTTATCTGAGCTGCGGCCGCAAGGTTGTCGGTGCCTGTCGTGGCGGCAACCCTCAAACCCGCTGGTGGACACCTCCGGTGAGGGATGCTGTCAGGTTAAAGAAGGAGGCCTATCGGGCCTTTTTGGCCTGTGGGACTCCGGAATCAGCTGATGGGTACCGGCGGTGAAGCGGCATGCGGCTCGGTTGGTTGCTGAGGCAAAAACTCGGGTGTGGGAGGAGTTTGTAGAGGCCATGGAGAAAGACTTCCG